CCCCCACACAACCCACTGCCAGGCCTTTGCCATCTAGAGCCAGAGTCCGGCAGTCCAGGGTCATAGTCACTCTGTCCACCCACAGGCTTCAGCTCACTGGAGAGTCTTGATTCCTAGCTCCCAGGAGGCACTGGGGCCTCCGCCCAAGGAGGGCGTGGTCAAGCATGAACAGGGATGCTCCCTCCAGTCTGCCTTCCTCCCCTGGCGCTCGGCTGAACTCCTGGGCAACCCTGCCAGGGATGCCAAAAACTGCAGGCACCAGGGCCAGGGGCAGCACGTGCCAGCCCTGCCACCCCCGACAGTGACTCAGCTGTCTCTGGACACCATGTGCTGGCGGGGTCGGCAGGGAGGGGCTGCCAGCCCAGGCTAGGGCCAGGGCATCTAGGTCTCCCGGGGGCGACGGCTCGGGAGCCCGCCCCGTGAAGCCCGCTGCCTCCCCTTGAACTGCTGGAGTTCCCCCGGCATCTCTGCACCAGGCCCGCACAGCCCTTGGCCTGTGGCCACCTCCCCGCTGACCAGCCCTCCGCACCTGAGAGCAGAGCCCCTTGGCACGAGGGAGCCAGGCTGGACTCGGGATGGGGAGGGGAGGCTGTGGCTTCACACGAGCTGGTCGGGGGCGCGGCTAGCCGGCCCTGACCTGTCACCTCTTCCCCAGCTGGCTGCCGACGGCACTGTCATGAACACCTTCGCGCACAAGTGCCAGCTACCGGAGGACGTGGATCCAACGTCGGTGACCTCCGCTCTGCGGGAGGACGGCAGCCTCACCATCCGGGCGCGGCGCCGCCCACGCACAGAGCACGTCCAGCAGACTTTCCGGACGGAGATCAAAATCTGAAGGCCCCCTCCCTCCCCTGCCCCCACCCCTGTCCCCACTGGCCTACAGTGAGGTCGTCCGAACCCCTTTGCGATACCCCAGGACATCTCAGCCAGGTGCCAGCCCCGCTACCCCCCAGACCCCAGGTGGGTCATCCCCCCAAACTAGGGTCCTTCACTCTGCCCAGGGCAGACATGGGACCCCCTTGCCTGGCCTCACCTGTGGCCTCCAGATGCCAAATATGGTCTCCATCACTTAATCTAGAGCAGGGACTGGGGTGAAGAAGGGCCACCCCAAAGGAGGGAAGGGACACAGGAATAAGCAGGGTCTCTGGGCAGTGATCTGCAGGACAGACAGACAAATCCTTTCATCTGCGGAGTCTCGGGAGGGCAGGGCAGGGCGTCGGGACCTGGGGCCCCCTTGACTAAGGAGAGCAGGAGAGGCAGGCGGAGGTCACGGACAGGCACCCAGGGAAGTGGAACTGCCCGGGGCTCAGGGAGGCCTGAAGGAGGAAGCACGAGGGTCACCCTCCCCTCTGCTATTCAACCCCAAACCAGCTGGCAGATTGCCTGCCCGCCCTGTGCCCCCAGCCAGCCAGCCTGCCAGGGCAGGGCCAGCTTGCATCCGTGTAGAGATGGGTTTTTCCAGTATGGCTGGTTCATGATAAACTGTGAAACCCCTGCTGGAGCCTCCGGGCCAGGCTGGGGTGAGGGTGGGGCTGGTCCTTCTCCCTCCCACTCTGTCCTGCTCCACTGCAGACAGGACGGCCCAGCCAAGGTGGGGCTATGGGGCCTCAGCATGGACCCCGCTCTCATGACCTTCCCTGACCTTCCCCTCGGGGCAGTGGCCTCCACATCCGCCCCTCTTTCTCAGTCCGTGTTTCTACAGGACAAGCTGCCACTGTCCTTCAGATACTCACTTTACGGCTGGTACGGCCACATTCAGAGCATCCTCAAGTCAGGTTTCTGGTCTCCATCTTCTCAGAGGGGAAGCCGCGTCTCTGAGCCTCTGGGTGTCTGGCTCTGTGGCCAAAGGCTGGATCTGAACCCAGGACGGCGGTGCTGCCCACGGCCCTGGCCTCTGTGCTCTGAGCAGTGTCCCCTCACTCTGCCCCCCAGGGCTATGTGCTCTGCGGGAGTCACAGGAATAGGCCCATCCTGTCCCAGTGCCCTCATCACCCCTAATCCAGGCAGGGACCCTCTCAGCCTTAACCCTGGAGACACTGGCTCCCTGTCTCCCTGGTCAGTGTCCCCCACAGGGACGCAGTGAACAGGGAGGAGTGGTTACCGGGTAACTGAGGGCCCCAGGACAAGCCGCAGGGCCAGCCCCTGCCCTCTGTGCCTCTCGGGTCAGCGTGCTGGAGGGAGGCCTCTCACTCCGCCATCTGGGGCCCTTGGGCTAGGAGGGGGCATGGAGAGAGCTGGCGCTGTACCCCTACCCACAATAAAAGAGTACCACAGACCTGGAGAGCACCTGTCTGCTTTGCAAACCCGGGGCTGGAGGGGCCGGCTGAGAAGGCCCAGCATAAACTAACACCTCCTCCTGCAGATCTGGGGCTGGCTGGGGGGTGCAGGGGGTGTGGGGGGTGGTGGTCAAGTGAAAGCTAAAGACAGGAAGGTGGGTGTCCCTTGCCCTCCTCCATGGGCTCCCCAGACCCAGCTGGGCCTGAATCCCAGGATTCTCTCTTCTTTTCTTCCTTTTTCCAACTGCCAAAAGGCAGAGAGGAGGCACCCCCATAACCCTTTCCCTGCATGTCTGCATCCTGTCATGATTGTGGGCATGCATGTGTGCGGGGAATGCTTCCAGGCCGCCAGGAGGGACTCGAATAGCCCTGGGGGATGCCCTTCCTAGCACAGGGCCTGTCCCCAGGACTGTTTCAGCAGGCCCTGGCGCACTCTCTCTTCCACTTGCCTGTCTCTTCCTTTTACTCATTCTTTTATTCAACACGTCTATGTTGTCCTGCTACTATGTGCCAGGCACTGTCCCAGGCCCAGGGACACAAAGGCGGGTGGGCCACACCAGGGCGCTCGGCTTCCAGGCTTCCAGGCTTCCAGGCTTCCAGGCTTCCAGGCTTCCAGGCTTCCAGGCTTCCAGGCTTCCAGGCTTCCAGGCTTCCAGGCTTCCAGGCTTCCAGGCTTCCAGGCTTCCAGGCTTCCAGGCTTCCAGGCTTCCAGGCTTCCAGGCTTCCAGGCTTCCAGGCTTCCAGGCCCAGCGAGGTTGAGCTAAGGACCCAGGGTCACACAGTCCCAGAGGCACAGCTGGCTGGAACCCGGCGGCTCAGAGGGGAGGGGTACTTGCTGGTTCAGGTGACGCTCCGGAGGGATGTCTCACCCTGCACACCCCCAGTGAAATCAGAATACCCAGCGCCCCCCAGTGCGCTCCCGCAGGCTGCCATCAGGAGGAGGGGACGGGTGGAGAGGGGGTGCGTATTTCCAGCCTCTGTGACTCACGGATTCCC